CACAATAGTAAAACTCAAACTTATCAATCCTTGTAAAAAAACAATCTTCTTTTCAGACAGAGTTCATTTGAACAAGATATGACATCTTCCGGCTATACTTTATCTGATGATGAAGAAAGTATAGCGCCTGACTTCCAACAATGGTATATCAGTGCCAATCATAACTAAAGACCTGGTCCCTGATTCTTTGATCACTGATTCCTTCTTTCTATAGTGGATGTGATGGGGGAACCATATGACAGGCACCACATGAGGTATACGAAACGCTTTCCCTTTCGGAACACTCGGTTTTATTCCGTCTTTGTTGGGCTTCATGACGTATTCTTGATTGATGTTAATATTTCTAAGCAGCGACTGGGAGTAGCATGGTGCTTCCCATAATTATATACGGTAAGAACATGTGTGGAATAGTACTTTAAACTTCAATTTGTGCAATATTCTCTTTGGATGTAACTTGAGATATTTGCCAGTTTTTCGACAAAATTGTTTATGTTTTTTAGCGAAGATTTTAGAATGCACGTTGATATTTAATTTAGCATTTCAGAAAAACCGGAAAACTCGGCTGATATCGAAAACATTTTAAGAAGACTTTGAAGAGGTTGATAGCAATCTTCGCCGAAAAAGTAGATACAACAAGATATCGTTCCTGCTGATACAATACATCCTTTTGTTATGCAATATAGTGCTTTAATACCTGGGCCGGTGTTCCTCCAAGTCCTGTGTCAGCGTTACCATTACTGGCAGTCCCCGTGGTCCACGTGACATCAGCGTAGTTAAACACTGTGAAAGAGTGACGGCCATTTGTAATGAGTACACACTGAAACGTGTTTCTCTGTAAAAGAAGGATACTCGTTTTCACATTAAGATATACTGAACCAAATGCGAGCATTTGGCATGTTCAATTGATTAAAGAAGAAAATAAATATATTTAACATGGAAATGGATGTGGAACCATGGAGAACGAATATTTTTGTAATTCCATTTGTATTGTACATGTATGTAGATCGAATCTTTGATTTTGCACCGAATTCAATTCTTCGGACCATAAACATGCTACAATTTGTATTATTAGAGATCGTGTATATCTCCTTTCGTGAGTTCTATGCAAGATTGATAATTTCTCACCTTTTATCTGTAAGACTGAGTCATGCAAATTGTAAATGCACCTTTTGGTAAAAGTTCATACTGCTGTGTATGCCATTGGTCTTATGTGAGGTTGTCGTTAGACCTATTTACTCGCATAGTACTTAATGTGTGAGAAGAAGAACCTTGCTCTGAAATTTGATAAAGATCTGTCTAGCACTTCTTTGCAAATAGTGATAACAACCTGGAACAGTCGAATCAAATATGGCTGCAAGGCGACCGTGTCTGTTTTTTTCCCAGTCAGTCTCAAAACTAAACATGCAGAACTTAGGACCTTTGAAAATCAGATTATGACATTTTAGAAAGATATGTCCAGTACGTCTTGAGAAATAGCTTGAACAAAATCCAACGATCAAAATTCAACAAAACTGTTTGGTGGCATCTCGTTTTTCTGATCAGTCCCAAATATCAAATAAGGGACCATGTGAAAATTACCCTGTTGGCCATCTTGGTTTTCCGATCAGTCCCAAGATTTAGTTCTGCGAAACTGGTGACCATAGGAAATCTTCACGTGAAATTTGAGAAAGATCCCTGAAATACTTTCTGAGAATCAGAAAAAAAAAGAACTTTAAAAACTCTCAAAATGTTAGCTGGCTACCTGTCTACCATATTGACTTGTTCGATCTTAACATTTTCTTCGTGTTGGTAAGTATAGATTATGAAATGATTCTTGTAACACAGCCAAAACGTGTTTCTATGTGACGTTTTGACATTGATTTGTGGACTTGTACACATTTTACACCTTTGTGTACATACGCTTCACTGGTCATATGTCTGCTGAACATGACAGAGTACATACCGTACTAGTCATCGAAACGTCACATAAAAACACTTATTGGTTGTGTTACAAGAATCCTATCATAAGGACTACCGGTATACGAAGGGTGATTTGAACAGCCACTATCTGATGAGGGTGGACGAAAAAGTATATCCATATACCTTGGTTTTGCCAATTGTCGACGCTCCGTAGAAAGCTACATTGTCCCATGTAGATACAAACACCCAGCTGGCATGGAACTCCGACTGGTCTGGATAGTAGAGGCGGATTTCGTCCGTCGCCCGCTGTAGGATGGCGGGATCAGTAGTTTCCCGATACCACACTGTACCACCATTTCGTATGTCCACGTCTGCCCAAAAGGGGGCCACAATACTGCGGTGATCTTGGAGTGGAAAAGGATCCGGCGTGAACTGGCTTAGTGTTTTTTGAAAAGATATGGCGCCATTTGTATTAACCTGCAAAACATAAAAGGAGATGGTGAATAAATTGTAAGTATATTTAGATACATAAGGTACTTCTTCGAATGTCAGATTGGTGTCGTTGGTATTAATATTGGTGTCTTATTTTATTTTGGGTACTTGACTTTGATAAATATGGACACATTACATCATGATTTAAAAAGATAAAGACCGCATATTTTTATTTTTTTCATTTGCAGCCTTGCAAGAGTGATTTAAACATAATTTCAGGATTGACCGTTCCATTGGTCGTACATCAAACAACTTTATTTACATCTATACAATGTATGAGGCATGACATATGCTGAATCATACGTCTTTTACACGAAAACCTACCTGATATTGAAGTATAACCATGATGTAGATTGTAGTTGTTGGTGTTTATCATGCCCCCTTACAAAGTATTAACAACAAAATCGTCCCACACTAAGAAATCTTTTATTATATACTATTAGGTAGAACAATATACATGTATTGCCCTTACTGTAGGGAAACGCGATTCTTTGTTTCTTTGAAGTTAAAGATGATAAACGTGGACAAGTCATACACTCACCTCACAGAAAATACTTAAGAATCCCTGTCCCACTGCACTGAGTTTTCTTTTATTTTTGGATATAGTTGTAGAACAATTGGGCAAGGATATTTTCGTCTACCAGATAGCTTAATCGGCCAGAGCGATAGTTTAGCTGTTTGAAGTTCATAGTTCGAATTCGTGTCTTGCCCCGCGGTGATTTTTCTCTCAGAACACTATTGTTGATATTATATTTAATGTCAAAAATACACTCATGGCGAACATTGTGATTCCTGTAAGAGGTTAAACAAAGACCACACTCATGGCCTACATTGTGATAACTGTTCGAGGTTAAACATAGACCATACTGATTGTGTACATCGTGATTCCTGATAGAGGTCAAACATAGACAATACTCATGGCGTACATTGCAATTACTGATAGGGGTTTAACATAGACAATACTCATGGCGTACATCGTGATTCCTGTTAGAGGTTTAACATAGAACACACTAATGGCGTACATCGTGATTCCTGTTAGAGGTTAAACATAGACCTTACTCATGGCGTACATCGAGATTCGTCTTAAAGGTTATAAATAGACCTTAATCATGGCGTACATCAAGATTCGCCATAAAAGTTAAACATAGACCTTACTCATGGCGTACATCGAGATTCGTCATTAAGGTTAAAAATAGACCTTACTCATGGCGTACATCGAGATTCGTCATAAAGGTTAAACATAGACCTTACTTATGGCGTACATCGATATTCCTCCTAAAGGTTAAACATAGACCACACTCATGGCGTACATCGTGATTCATGTTAGAGGTTAAACATAGACCCACTCATGGCGTACATTGTGATTCCTGTTTGAGGTTAATCAAAGACCACACTCATGGCCTACATTGTGATAACTGATAGAGGTTAAACATAGACCGTACTAATAGTGTACATCGTGATTCCTGATAGAGGTCAAACATAGACCACACTCATGGCGTACATCGAGATTCCTGATAGAGGTTTACCATTAACAATACTCATGGCGTACATTGCGATTACTGATAGGGGTTTAACATAGACCACACTCATGGCGTACATCGTGATTCCTGTTAGAGGTTAAATAAAGACAATACTCATGGCGTACATCGAGATTCCTGATAGAGGTTTACCATTAACAGTACTCATGGCGTACATCGCGATTACTGTTAGAGGTTAAACAGGCCATTCTGATTGTGTACATCGTGATTCCTGTTAGAGGTTTAACATAGACCACACTCATGGCTTACATTGTGATTCCTGTTTGAGGTTAAACATAGACCACACTCATGGCGTACATCGTGATTCCTGTTAGAGGTTAAACATAGACAATACTCATGGCGTACATTGCGATTACTGATAGAGGTTTACCATTAACAATACTCATGGCGTACATCGCGATTTCTGTTAGAGGTTAAACATAGACCACACTCATGGCGTACATCGTGATTCCTGTTAGAGGTTTAACATAGAACACACTCATGGCTTACATTGTGATTCATGTAAGAGGTTAAACATAGACCACACTCATGGCGTACATCGTGATTCCTGTTAGAGGTTAAACATAGACAATACTCATGGCGTACATTGAGATTACTGATAGAGGTTTACCATTAACAATACTCATGGCGTACATCGCGATTACTGATAGGGGTTTAACATAGACAATGCTCATGGCGTATATTGTGATTCCTGTTAGAGACTAAACATAGACAATACTTATGGCGTGCATCGTGATTCCTGATAGAGGTTTAACATAGATTCACTCATGGCGTACATTGTGATTCCTGTTAGAGGTTTAACATAGAACACACTCATGGCTTACATTGTCATTCCTGTTTGAGGTTAAACATAGACAACACTCATGGCGTACATCGTGATTCCTGTTATAGGTTAAACATAGACCACACTCATGGCGTACATCGAGATTCGTCTTAAAGGTTAGAAATAGACCTTAATCATGGCGTACATCGAGATTCGTCATAAAGGTTAAACATAGACCTTACTCATGGCGTACATCGAGATTCGTCATTAAGGTTAAAAATAGACCTTACTCATGGCGTACATCGAGATTCGTCATAAACGTTAAACATAGACCTTACTCATGGCGTACATCGAGATTCGTCCTAAAGGTTAAACATAGACCACACTCATGGCCTACATCGTGATTCCTGTTAGAGGTTAAACATAGACCCACTCATGGCGTACATTGTGATTCCTGTTTTAGGTTAATCAAAGACCACACTCATGGCCTACAATGTGATAACTGATAGAGGTTAAACATAGACCACACTCAAGGCCTACATCGTGATTCCTGTTAGAGGGTAAATATAGACAATACTCATGGCGTTCATTGCAATTACTGATCGGGGTTTAACATAGACAATGCTCATGGCGTACATCGAGATTCCTGATAGAGGTTTACCATTAACAATACTCATGGCGTACATTGCGATTACTGATAGGGGTTTATAATAGAACACACTCATGGCGTACATCGTGATTCCTGTTAGAGGTTAAATATAGACAATACTCATGGCGTACATCGAGATTCCTGATAGAGGTTTACCATTAACAATACTCATGGCGTGCTTCGCGATTACTGATAGGGGTTTAACATAGACAATACTCATGGCGTACATTGTGATTCCTGTTAGAGGTTAAACATAGACCCACTTATGGCGTACATTGTGATTCCTGATAGAGGTTTACCATTAACAATACTCATGGCGTACATCGCGATTTCTGTTAGAGGTTAAACATATACAACACTCATGGCGTACATCGAGATTACTGATAGGGGTTAAACATAGACCATGGTTTAACATAGACCACACTCATGGCGTACATCCTGATTCCTGTTAGAGGTTAAACATAGACCACACTCATGGCGTACATCGAGATTCGTCTTGCGTACATCGCGATTACTGATAGGGGTTTAACATAGACAATACTCATGGCGTACATTGTGATTCCTGATAGAGGTTTAACATAGACCACACTCATGGCGTACATCCTGATTCCTGTTAGAGGTTAAACATATACCACACTCATGGCGTACATCGTGATTCCTGTTAGAGGTTAAACATAGAACACATTCATGGCTTACATTGTGATTCCTGTTAGAGGTTAAACATAGACCACAATCATGGCGTACATCGTGATTCCTGTTAGAGGTTAAACATAGACAATACTCATGGCGTACATCGAGATTCGTCCTAAAGGTTAAACATACTGATAGAGGTTTACCATTAACAATACTCATGGAGTACATCGCGATTAATGATAGGGGTTACACATAGACCATACGGATTGTGTACATCGTGATTCCTGTTAGATGTTAAACATAGACCACCCTCATGGCGTGCATCTTGATTCCTGATAAAGGTTTACCATTAACAATACTCATGGCGTACATCGCGATTACTGATTGGGGTTAAACATAGACCATACTGATTGTGTACATCGTGATTCCTGTTAGATGTTAAACATAGACCACACTCATGGCGTGCATCTTGATTCCTGATAGAGGTTTACCATTAACAATACTCATGGCGTACATCGCGATTACTGATTGGGGTTAAACATAGACCATACTGATTGTGTACATCGTGATTCCTGTTAGAGGTTAAACATAGACCACACTCATGGCGTACATCGTGATTCCTGTTAGAGGTTTAACATAGAACACACTCATGGCTTACATTGTGATTCTTGTTAGAGGTTTAACATAGACCACACTCATGGCGTACATCGTGATTCCTGTTAGATGTTAAACATAGACCACACTGATGGCGTACATCGTGATTCCTGTTAAAGGTTAAACATAGACCATACTGATTGTGTACATCGTGATTCCTGTTACAGGTTAAACATAGACCATACTGATTGTGTACATCGTGATTCCTGTTAAAGGTTAAACATAGACCATACTGATTGTGTACATCGTGATTCCTGTTAGACGTTAAACATAGACCTTACTCATGGCGTACATCGTGATTCCTGTTAAAGGTTAAACATAGACCTTTCTCATGGCGTACATCGATATTCTTCGTAAAGGTTAAACATAGACAATACTCATGGCGTACATCGAGATTCGTCATAAAGGTTAAACATAGACCTTACTCATGGCGTACATCGATATTCGTCGTAAAGGTTAAACATAGACCACACTCATGGCGTACATCGTGATTCCTGTTAGAGGTTAAACATAGACCCACTCATGGCGTACATTGTGATTCCTGTTTGAGGTTAAACAAAGACCACACTCATGGCCTACATTGTGATAACTGATAGAGGTTAAACATAGACCGTACTGATTGTGTACATCGTGATTCCTGTTAGAGGTTAAATATAGACAATACTCATGGCGTACATCGAGATTCCTGATAGAGGTTTACCATTAACAATACTCATGGCGTACATCGCGATTACTGATAGGGGTTTAACATAGACAATGCTCATGGCGTATATTGTGATTCCTGTTAGAGGTTAAACATAGACCACACTCATGGCGTACATCGAGATTCCTGTTAGTGGTTAAACATAGACTACACTCATGGCGTACATCGTGATTCCTGATAGAGGTTTACCATTAACAATACTCATGGCGAACATCGCGATTACTGATAGGGGTTAAACATAGACCATGCTGATTGTGTACATCGTGATTCCTGATAGAGGTTTACCATTAACAATACTCATGGCGAACATCGTGATTACTGATAGGGGTTAAACATAGACCATGCTGATTGTGTACATCGTGATTCCTGATAGAGGTTTACCTTTAACAATACTCATGGCGTACATCGCGATTACTGATAGGGGTTTAACATAGACAATACTCATGGCGTACATTGTGATTCCTGTTAGAGGTTAAACATATACCATACTGATTGTGTACATCGTGATTCCTGATAGAGGTTTAACATAGACCCACTTATGGCGTACATCGTGATTCCTGTTAGAGGTTTAACATAGAACACACTCATGGCTTACATTGTGATTCCTGTTTGAGGTTAAACATATAGACCACACTCATGGCGTACATCGTGATTCCTGTTAGAGGTAAAACATAGACCACACTCATGGCGTACATCAAGATTCGTCTTAAAGGTTAGAAATAGACCTTACTCATGGCGTGCATCGAGATTCGTCCTAAAGGTTAAACATAGACCTTACTCATGGCGTGCATCGAGATTCGTCCTAAAGGTTAAACATAGACCACACTCATCGCGTACATCGAGATTCGTCATAAAGGTTAAACATAGACCACACTCATGGCGTACATCGAGATTCGTTCTAAAGGTTAAACATAGACCTTACGCATGGCGTGCATCGAGATTCGTCATAAATGTTAAACATAGACCTTAATCATGGCGTGCATCGAGATTCGTCCTAAAGGTTAAACAAAGACCACACTCATGGCGTACATCGAGATTCGTCATAAAGGTTAAAAATAGACCTTACCCATGGCGTACATCGAGATTAGTCCTAAAGGTTAAACATAGACCTTACACATGGCGTACATCGAGATTCGTCCTAAAGGTTAAACATACACCACACTCATGGCATGCATCAAGATTCGTCCTAAAGGTTAAACATAGACCACACTCATGGCGTACATCGTGATTCCTGTTAGAGGTTAAACATAGACCACACTCATGGCGTACATCGAGATTCGTCCTAAAGGTTAAACAAAGACCACACTCATGGCATGCATCGAGATTCGTCCTAAAGGTTAAACATAGACCACACTCATGGCGTACATCGTGATTCCTGTTAGAGGTTAAACATAGACCACACTCATGGCGTACATCGAGATTCGTCATAGATGTTAAAACATAAACCACACTCATAGCGTTTATCGTGATTCCATAGAATGAGGTACGAACGTATTGATCATTATTTTTCCCATGTTAAGCATTTCCTATACAGGGTGTTAAGACTTTGACCATACTCATCCGACGTTAATTATTCCCGATAGGGTCGTAAGAGTATCGACCATTGCTCACCCAAGCTAAGCATTTCCTGATAGGAGGTTTAGTCATTGACCATACTCTTCCTACTCACCCCTCAAACATACTTACAAATAATGAGTCGTGCTGGCTGTTGAAAAACGGGAAAAAAGTACTGATATTGACCATTGGCGAGCTTCCGTCATCATTCTTTGGAAAAGAATGGTCATTCACGGACGATCCAAAGGGATAAAATTCTGACGACGGGATAGAGCTGACAATGTGTAAAACAAAAGAAAACAAGAGGTAACAACAATAGCGTGTTTCCATTATGAAGAGTTTTACATTAATAACCTGCACACCTCGAGATAGCTATATTTCAATGTTTACCTATGTTATACTCTAGATAAAATACAATCAATCAAGACAAAAATTAGATAAGATACCCTGCATAATGATATGACATATTATGTAAACATAACGATATGACATAAGCATTCAGCGAAATTATTAGGTTGTTTAGTTTTGTTATCGTTGAGTCAGTGTTATTAATAGAATATATCATACGTAGATATGTGGGATTTAGGAATCCGGAGGTAGATTGTCTCTATCCTACATACCTTAAAATGATTTTCTCTTTCTCTCACCTACCTGGGAATTTGGTGAAATCGTCAATGACATTACGCATTCAACGATAAATGCTATAAGTTTTCTAGTTAATTTTTGTCCGTTACAATTGAAAAAAGTGCAGCAGAAAAAAGCTTTAAATCAAAACTATACTTTAAAGTTAAAAGGGTTTGGGAAAACATCATAGAAGTTATTATAAAAAATGTATTTTTTCGTGATGCGTTGACAGAAGCCGGGTTTTCCCAATGTTTTACCGGTAGATATTCTTCTCTGACAGCAATGTAAATTTAATGACATCAGGTGTCATATCGATCATATCGTCAGCCGATATGGGACTGAAAATTTTGATTTTTTTTCTTTTCTTTCTTGATAGCTACAGCCTCAAGTTGGTGTTGACGTGTCGTAGTGGATTCAGTTGAAAAGATGTTAAGGAGGCTCCATCCTTTCGCAATTAGCCAGCAGAATTTAATGAAAGTTTCACATCATGGTTATGTCACTATGTAGAGAAGATTTTTTGAAAATCCAAGCATTCCGATAAACTGGGGATCTTTTGGTAAAAAATACCGAAAAATTGATTTTTTGTCAAATTCAAATTTGAGCGTGTGGCAATGTTCAAAACTATTGCAACAATAAAATAATGAAAAGAAACATTGCTAATCAACCCTATACATATTTTATTTATCATGAAATATCTACAACATGTTACAAAAAGCGTTTTTTATTGAAATTGTATGGATAACAGTTACTAAATACAAGCTAAAAGCAAACAGGACACATAGTTTCATACAAAAAGACTGAAAATTTGAACCAAATACACACAAAGTCTTTAAATAAATTAATTTATTTCACATTTTACAATAATTTTGATCCTGATGCGAGTTGTCTACCTTGAAAAAACCCAGAACTTTTTGCAGAGGGATAGAATTTATACAATGACACTTATTTTCTTTACTATACCAAAAACGACGGAAAGAAATCAAATTACTATATTTAATTGTCAATTTACTGTTCTTTTATGGATCAAAATTACTCTCAAACATGTACACTTTGTACATCATTCCATAGCCCGCTTCGCATGGTATATCAACATGTCAGGTAAATATGTAACCCTATCGCATGGTATGCCGTTGTTACGTGCACGCACATGCACTTGCATTTTATAGGGATCTTGATATTTTACAAACCACTTTTTTCACTGAGTTATTGTAATTGCATTTGTGAACCAAGTTATCTGACAGAGCGCAACTCGCTCGAAAAAAAAGTCGTTGCGACCAAGAGCTTGTGAACTACTGTTAGCACGTGATACGTACAGGTGAGGTCGGTAAACAAAACACATCAGTCTGCATTCCATGCGCCTCATATACGACATTCTTGAAGTCGTCTGATCGTATGTCAGTGTTTTCCCGTGAGATAATTTATGTCTTTGTATCATAAGCTTTATTTCTGAAGTACGCGTGATTACACATTTCCAAGTTAAGTCTCGATATCGGGTGTTGACAAATCATCGTCACGCACGTGCACGTGTACTATTGTTTACCCGGTGTTACTATAATTTACACTATGGTAATCAAATGCCCGATACGCAATACGGAAATGCCGACACGAAATTACGACAAGAAAAACATGTGTATTACGATGGGTGGAAAGTCCTTAATGGATTTCTCTGAATATCACGATTTCTGTAATATCTGTCAATGCTGACGGACAAACTTCAAAAAAAGTGTATCCAGATATACAAATTGATGACACTGTTTTCTTGTACGATATGGATATCGACGTTTTTA